ATATATATATATATATATATATATATATATATATATATATATATATATATATATATATATATATATATTATTATTATTATTAATAAAATACTTTACAAAACACTATTTGTCAAAAGACTTTTGAGCGCTGTATATGCGTGAGTTTTGAAATATTCGGCTATCATGCTCACTCCCTGGCCATTCTGGAACAATATCTAGTATTTCAGTACGCGATCCGACAACAACCTATAATAATACTTTTGAAAATACTTTTGAAAATATTTTTGAAAATACTTTTGAAACTTCTACGAATATTTTCTTGAAGAAAATAAGTTGCTTCGCATATTATCCGAAGACGAATGTCTTCAGACATCAGTAGGTATGATAGGCCGATTCTAACTCAGGTCTTCTGAGGGTGAGGGGCGAGGGTACCGCGGGCGAGAGGGTATGACGTCAGCGTGGGAGGATTGCGTCACCGCGGGGGGGGGGTATGACGTCACCGAGGAGGGGTTATCAGCGGTCGATAATTGGGGGGCATATCGACATTACCGACGGTCGGTAATTTTTACCGATATTACATAACATTTAATTACATAATTTTTACCAACATATAATTACACAATATCGACAATACCGACGATCGGTAATTTATTACCAATATTATATACCAACATTTAATTACTTAATTTTTTACCAACATATATATTTACATAATTTTTACTCACATATTTACATAATACCGATGATCAGTAATTACTGATATTATATAATTTTCCTATCTGCTTTCGATAAATCAATTTAATGATCTGCGGCGGATTTTTCGCGGCGGTTTTCGCGGCCGTTTTTTTGCGGCGGTTTTTGCGGTGGTTTGCGGTGGTTTTTGCGGCGGTTTCCGCGCCGCCCGCTCGCATATTTCGCGGTGTAATTTTTTATAGTCGCAGCTGCAAACTCTAAGAATTTGCAACTCGTATTAAATATCACTGCGCGACTACATATTGCAAACGTATGCACTCGACAGTTAGATGCGCAAGAAGAAGAATGTGACACATGATATTCTTATTACTAATGAGCACGTACACTGTGTCCCCGCGACAAGATTTTGTAAGCGTTACGGTAAAGAACGGGAATGAAACGGTAAAAAACGGTAATGAAACGGTAAAGAATGGTAATGAAATGGTAAAAAAACGGTAAAGAACGGGAATGAAACGGTAAAGAAACGGTAAAGAACGGTAATGAAACGGCAATGAAACGGTAAAAACAGTAAAGAAACGATAAAGATACGTGTGACGATGTCTTACACGCATCGTCCCTAACACAGCCGACGCAACATCCGTCGGCTGTAAACGGCGCTAAGCGCTAAACAAATAAAACCAAACATAAACATGCGCCACGCCTAGCATAAGTCACGTCAACAACGACGTCAAATGTAAAGAGACGGTATATAAACCGTGGCCGAGAAATAAGCAAAGAGACTGATCCGGACCGCCGACCGAACTCGATGCTTCAAAGCGGAGAGCAAGGTATCCGACCATATCGTTTCTATCTTCCCGTCAACCTCCGAAACCGCACAGACGAAACCGGCACCTGGAGATTGTGTGTTCGCTATCTCCGTCAAGCGCTCTTGACACCGACTTCGCCTTTCTATCAGGATCCAACGATCGGTCTACGAGTTCGTGTGTTCGCGAACCCGATCAAGCCTTCTCGGTACCGATCGTATCCCGACTCCACGTGCAAGTTTCCGAGCCAGTGTGTTCGCTGCGCCCGATCGAACGTTCTCGATACTTGCCTGATTCGTCGCGGCGATACGCGAGCCGCCCGATATATCGCGCTGCGTGCTGCGACACGCAAACACCGAGAGTACCGCCGGGCCCCCGCGGCCACCAATCTGTTCGCACCGCGATTCGCGGATTCCGTGCGACTTATCCCTCGCGACCTGCCGTCTTCGCGACCTGCCGTATTCGCCCCGCCTACCGAATCGCAAGATCCAGACGAGCGAAAACGAGACCTGACCACTGCTGCCGCTCCACGTCGAAATACACGCGGTTCACATCGTTGTTCTGTATATTAAACTTCTAATAAATTGTTATTTATTATTACTTGCTGGTGTCAATTACTCAACGATCCCGGACTCCGACGAGCGATATTCCCGGCTACACGACCAACAACCGACACGCGACGTGCGGCTGTTACATTGGCGCCCGAACAGTTTAACTAGTGATCTGACACAAGCAAGCAATAACACACAAATAACAACGTCTATAGATTATCAAAAGATCAAATTATAGAACAGCTACGTGAACAAAATATAGAAACCGAAGGCACACTCGACGAATTGCGAACACGGTTAGTGCAATTCTTAAGAAAAAAATCTGGGAACGACAAAACAGAATATGCAAAACGAGACCATAATGCCAAAGCAAGACGAATCCACATCGTCCATAGAATTAACAGAACCTATAAACTAGATAATGAATCAAATTAGAAAATGGGGGTGCCACTTTGATGGACGTAACCCACACGCATTTCTGGAACGAATGGAGGAGTTGAGCCAGGCATATGGATACCCGGGCGAATAATTATTACGGGGATTACCGGAAATGCTAAGAGGAGAAGCCCTAACATGGTACCGTAATAGTCGGGACGCGTGGAACCCATGGGGGGACTTCCGAACAGATTTTGAAAGAGAGTATATCCCGCGACAATTCCAGGCGCAAATGCGACGCCAAGCACGAGGAAGGGAAAAGAGGGAGAACGAGCCATTCCGTAGTTACGCCAATGATATTCTCAAATTAATGTGCAGAGCAGGGGGATGGACGACTGGGGAACAGCTCGACCTTCTATATGAAAACATGCTGCCGGAGTGGAAAAAATTTGTAAAAACAGAAGAGGTGGGAACAGTAACAGAATTACGCGAGAGAGTTACTGAATTGGAAAATCTAGAACAACAAATTAAAGAAAGAAACAAGGCAAAATACAAACTGCGAACGGGACGACCACCAGCAACAGCCGCCACCTATAAGGACGAGTGTTGCTGGCAGTATAAGCAAAGAGGGCATAATCGATTCGAATGTAGACAAACACCGCGGAAATTCAGCTCACAGTGCGGCAAAGACGGCGTCCTCACCAAAGATTGCTACCCGCCGTCGGGAAACGCCAGGCGGGTCGAGCCCCCGAGAGGCTCGGCCCACTGTATAAAATATATGCCAAGGCCATTTACAATAATAAACGTAAATGGACAAAAAATCCGAGCACTGATTGACTCGGGGTCGGAAGCGTCCTTTATTAGACCAGAGATAGCACACAAACTAAAATTACAGATAAAACGAATGAAAGACAATGTACGGCTAGCAAACGGGACGAAAACTGAAATACTCGGAACGGTAACAGCGACTATACAAACAAACAAACAAAAATACAGAAGACAGTTAAGAGTACTACCGAACTTGGGAAGTCCTATAATAATAGGAACGGACATATGGACGGACTTACAGATTACACTACCGCCACCACCACGTACAACGGCAAGAGAAATACTGGATTTATACGAAATCGAAGACGAAATGACGAAACAATCGGAACGAGAAGAGAAGCAACTAAGACAATTTTTAACAGAGGAATTATAGATGTTTGACAGAATACAGGGACCGACAGACAGGATACAACACCATATAACATTAACAGACAAAAGAACGATTAAACAACGATACCGACCCCGAAACCCGGCTATGAAGGCGATAATCAATCAGGAGGTGGAAGACATGCTACGGGAAGGAATAATCGAGCCCTCAAGAAGCGCATAGAGTTCACCAGTGGTAGTGGTAAAAAAGAAGGACGGGTTACGCAGATTCTGCATAGATTTTAGGAAAGCAAATAACGTCACGGAAAAAGACGCATATCTCGGCAACATTAGACAAGCTCCGGGGGGCTCCATATTTATCCACCATCGATTTGAAAAGTAGGTACTGGCAAATCCCACTAACGCCAGCAAGCCGACCGTTGACAGTATTTACGGTACCAGGAAAGGGGCTTTTCCAATTTAAGGTAATGCCGTTCGGCCTCCATTCGGCACCAGCGACATTCCAAAGACTGGTAGATAACATAATCGGCCCCGAGCTAAAGCCTAGAGTATTAGTATACCTGGACGATATAATTATCATTAGTAAAACGTTTAAGGAGCACCTGACGCAGTTAAAAGAGGTTTTTAAAAGACTACGGGAAGCCAAATTAAAAATAAATGTAAAAAAATGCCGGTTTTGCAGGAAGGAGTTGAAATACTTAGGACATGTAATAAATAGTAGAGGAATCCAAACGGACCCCGAGAAAGTAAGTGCCATACGCGACTGGCCAAAGCCGAATGTTATAATCGCGAATAATATCAGTGCTTTCGAAACACTTCTCAAGGAATCGTTTCGAATGCGCCACGACAAAGAAGCGGATGTGCAAGTGCTGCGATAAGCACCACCTTGCACATTCCGCATTTAGGACCTCAATTCAAAACACATCGAACCATTACCAAATATGGTAATGTTCTTGTCGCCAAGCACCCCCTCCGACAAGCCTAAAACAATATTATAAAAGAGCGGAGAAGACCGCTCGCGTCAGACTTAACACCTCGGTCTCTCGCCGCGACATACGTGACCAACGCGCGGTTCGCACATTACTAATAAAAACGGGAGTAGAAATTAAACACGTACATATGTACTTATTAAATAAACCTTTTATATTTAAACTATTCAACGTAGTACTATTATTGAGTACATCTCGCACTCACCGCCACACACCCTGCCGCGCCCGTATCACCGATCTCGAACTTTTTTCGTGTCCCGGCAACACGGGCACGACAATTTGATGGCAGCGGTGGGATTGGTGTCCGCCGGGCCTGGAACTACCTGTGAACAGAAAGTGAATTACGGGTAAGAAAAGGATGGCGTAAGTGACGAAAAAAGAAAAAATGCAAAAGAGAAATCATCGGAGCTAACTAGTGGACGTCGGAGATACGTCTACTGAAAAAAAACGCTACCGGTTATCTCAAAAAAGAGCGAGAAACTATAAGACCGAGAAAAAACAACTACTCCGTAAATACATTAGACGACAAGTCTACAAAAACAAAAAGAAGAAAAAATTTTGGAGAGAGCTCAAAAAGTCATTAAGAGCCCTCCGAGACAACACATTGAGACAACAAGGCTAACGAAGACGGCAGAGGACAGCGGTAATCGGTGAAAGAAGAGCAGCAGCGTAATCAAGGCGACCGTCGGAGCTACGGCCTACGATACTACGTTGTCAGCGACACCGGAGTCTACGGCAAATGCACCAGCGGCGACCGCGACCTGCCCAACGCCACTGACCCAGTAAC